GTCTGAATATATAAGATCAGAGTTCACAAAACAATTGCAAAGGTCCTATCAGGTAGGCTGAGGAAAGTTTTACCAACAATAATCTCACCATTCCAAGGGACCTTTATAGAGGGCAGGCAAATAGTGGACTATAGATCCTAGTGGCAAATGAATGTTTAACAGAGAAGAAGACTCAAAAGGAATATTTTAGAGAAGCACCGATTTGCAATCAGACAAGGCTCAAAAGGAATAAGATCAAGATGCTTTGGTCATATGAAACAAAGTCTATAAATATATCAGCATCAAAATTTACAAAATTTCAAGGATCCTATCAGGCAGGTTGAACAAAGTTTTAACAACAATAATGACACCATTCCAAGGGGCCTTTGTAGAGGGCAGGCAAATAGTGGACCAAATCATAGTGGCAAATGAATGTTTAGCAAGGAAGAAGATAAGAGGTAAGAAAAGAATTATCTGTAAGCTGGACCACAAAAAGGCTTTATGATTTGGTGGATTGGTCCTTGCTCCTAGAGGTAATGGAGAAATTTGGCTTGGGAGAGAGGTGGAGATCATGGATTAAGGGGTACTTAAGCTTGGTGCAATATTCAATCGTGATTAATGGACCCGCAAGGGATTTCTTCCCTGCTAGGAGAGGTTTGAGATAGGGTGACCCTCTTTCCCCATTCCAGTTCACCCTGGTCGCTGAGGTGCTCAACAGAATGATGACTAAGGCAGGCTTGGACAACTCACTAAGAGGGTGGAGAGTTGGTAGGGAGGAAGTCATGGTTACACTTGCAGTTTGCAGATGATAAAATGCTCCAACTAACTTATGGTTACACTTGGACAGCTCGTGATGGCTACAACTCTGGTTCCCTTAGGCTGTGTTTGGTTGCAATGCAAATGCAAATATATACACTGCATATTTACCCTCTTTCGGTTCATGAATGCAAACACGGTTCAGATTTTAAACCGTTTTTGTACTCATCTTGTTTGTTTGAAATCGGTGCTAAGTGTGGGCCCCATCATTAAATGCTCCAATGCCTCAACCTTGGTTAAAAAGTTGGATTATCAATGAATACAAAATTGTATCCAAAAAATAGGTACAGTAATGCTCTCTTTTCAGAGTATAAAAAATGTGAGAAAATACATTTTTGATCCGATAATCATTACTTTTTTACATGTCAAACAAACGCTCGCAAACGTGAACCACAGTACATAAATACCCCAGTTCGGCGTTTGTATTGCAAACAACCGGAGCCTTGGTATTCTAAAAGCATTGATAAGAAGTTTCGAGGATAGCTCTAATCCAAGAGTAAATTGGAGAAAGAAATGTATTGCAGATGTTAATGTGCAAGAGGAGGCGTGGGTTAGCTGAAGTGCTAGCTTGTGAAGTTAAAAACAAGCCCATAGAGTACTTAGGTCTCCCACTGGGCAGGAACCAATGATTGAGGATTTTTGGAAACTAGTACCGGAGAGATTAAACAAAAAAACTAGCCTCCTAGAAAAGGAATTATCTCACTGGGTCACTGGGAGGAAGAATAACTTTGATCAAGGCCACTCTAGCAAATCTCCCAGTTTATTTCCTCTCTACTTTTCGTGTCCTTGTTAAGATTGTTGAGCAATTAGAGAAGACCACGATGGGAACCAGGGGTTGAAAATAAGGATCATTTGGTTAATTAGGAACAGATTAGTAGGCCGAAGGAGAAGGCGGGACTTAAGTAATTTGGTTCAAAGGAATCTTGCTCTCTTAGGGAAGTGGCTGTGGAGATTCCCACTTGAAAAAAGGCTCTAGACAAGGTTATTAAAAGCATACATGGGCAATTGGACTGTGTCTGGGACGTAAAGGTAGCCTCTAATGCAACTTCAACATCTCCTAGCAAAACAATCTATGAGGTTAGACCTGTTCATGGGCCGGGTGGCCCGACAGGCCAGCCCGGCCCGGCCCCCGGACGGGCTTGAACACCTATATAGGCCCGCGGGCTTAACCTCGGGCCAAAAAGCCCGGCCCGCAATAAATTCAAGCTGGGCTCGAGATTTGCCAAAATAGCCCGGCCCGAGCCCGGCCCGACCCATAACTAAACCTAAAAACCCTAGTCGAAGACCCCTCTTTTTTTCACCTCTTTCCCTTCTTTTTCCAACCAAATTCTTCTTCTCCACATCCTCTTTCCCTTCTTTATATTCTTTTTTTAATATAAATAAATTTTGAATGTATATATTTTTTTAATGTAAATAAATTCTTATTTATATTGATTATTGAATAGGGAAAATATTTAATTTTTTTTATTAGGTCGAGCTTCCAGTTCGGGCTCGGGCTTCGGGCTTTTTATTAGGGCCGGGCTCGGACCCAAGTTGTAAGCCTGTTGGTCGGGCCGGGCTCAGGCCTAACATATTTCTGTTAATGAAGAGTAAAAGACCAGCCCGAGCCCGGCCCAGCCCGGCCCATGAACAGGTCTATATGAGGTATATCCCATCTTCCTCGATCTCATTCAGTATGGTGTGTTGGTAATGGACTAGAAGTGCTATTTTGGGAGGATATTTGGTTGGGGGACAACACTCTCAGAATCCAATTTCCTTTGCTCTATGCATTCTCCATTTCCAAACTTGAACCTATCTCAAAATTTGTGGCTTTCACTGAATCAGGTTTAAGTTGGGACTTTGGTTTTATAACAGGGCTTAGGGATTCAGAATGTGATTCTCGTATGTTTTTATTGGCTAGACTTAAGTCAATTTATTTGGATCAAAATTTGGAGGACAATAGGGTGTGGTCAATTTCCCCGATTGGATATTTCACTTGCACCTCTTTTTCAATCGTAACACAACCTACTACATTGGAGGTGAATTTCCTGGTGAAATAAATTTTTGAGCAAGCCTATCCCTCCTAAAATTCAAACCCTTTGTTGGGAGATCTTTCTTGGAAAAATCAACACCTATAATGTGCTGCAGAAAAGGCCAAATAAATGCCTCTCCCCTCACATGTGTTCCCTCTGCTTGAATAGTGAAACAATTTTCCATATTTTTATATCATGTTCCATTGTGCATTGTATTTGGAAGCAGCTTTGTTTTTTATTTGGGTGCAGATGGACTGCTCAAAAAGCAGCGGGCCTTTTTGATTCTCATTTCTTGAGACAGCCAATAAAAAGAGGAATATTACTTTGGAAAGCAATGAGAGCAGCTATGTTTTGGACTATTTGGGAAGAAAGAAATTGGAGAATATTAAATGATAAGAGTAGGACTCAGGCAGAAATCTTTGATTTAGTTAAACTGAAGGCTGCACATTGGGTGAAAACATTGGATGACTTCAAAGTCTTTTCATTGAATGATATTTTGAGAACCTGAAAAGAGGTGGCACTATCGGCTCAAGATAAGGCAAGGAGAGTGGTGGAGTGGAAGCCCCTGGCCCCCATTTTTATAAAACTCAACTTTAACGGAAGCTTTATTGGCAATAGGGGATTGGCTGAGGTAGAGGGTCTCTTCAGAGATAATAGAATGTAGAGTGGTGGCCTTGTATTCAGAACATTATTGGAGCATGGTAATACATTGACAGCAAAACTGGTTACTCTACTGCAAGGGTTAAGGCTTCCAAAACAATTGGGCTTCCACAATCTAGAGATGGAAGGGGATTCCCAAGTATTCATCTCATGGACCAAGAACAGTTCCCAGATTCCTTGGGTATTCCAGTATAAATTCAAGGAGATTGTAAGCCTACCAAGGGAGCTAAATGTTGCCTTTAAGAGGGTAATAAAAACAGCAAATGGAACAACAGATTCTTTGGCCAAACAATGGGCTGCAAGATAGCAAATGTTTTGGGAAAATCTGTAATCTTTTGATGTTTTGGGGTGGAATTTACACCCACACTCTTGTAAGTTGTAACTCCTAAACTTTCATCAATAAAATTCTTTTTCCGCTGAGAAAAAAAAAATATCATCATCAGAACAAGCAGGCTATATATCTTTAGCCTCTAGATTAAACACCTCATTCACATGGGTGATAAAATCAGCCAATTCCATGATGTGCACCCAAGCAGGCCAAGAGATGGAAGGAGTAGCAAAGCCTTACATGTATATTGGGAAGTTGTTATGTCCTTTTTTTCATTATTATTTTTTATAGGTGGGCAGTTCTCATATCGAACCATGCTCTTCCTTTTAGGAGTTATAAGGTGCATTGATTGGCCTCAGCCAAATGTTTTGAAGGACAGACCGACAGAAGTGTGAGACAAGTTGTCAGCCCATCCATTAACAGAATATGTGGCATAAAATGGGATATATTCTGTTAGGAGTTCCAAAGGTTTTGGACCATTGTACCTCTTTCATTCACATGGATTCTTGCTGCCAATCCCATTAAGGTGGGATAAACCAAGTAATAAAGATGATGAATCTTTGTAAGAGAAAAAATGTACAAATGATATATCCAACTATGATGCTGGAAAAATGGTATTGATCAAAAATAAAAAATAAAAAACTATGATGCTGGAAAGACGTGATACCAGAAAAACATATAACCAATCAACCGCCATCATAAAGTGGTAACCAATCAGGTTAGTTTTCATCAAAATTCAAGGGGGTTGTGATTAGTCAAAGGCTTTCTGGTATCATGTCTTTACGGCATCATAGATTTTTCCATATTAAGTACATGACAAGGAGAATGACAAGTTTCTGCAAAAAAATACATATGCAAGTTAAGTTTCTACCATTTGAAATGGCCAAAAAGAGTTGGCAAAAAACAAAAAAAAAAAAAACTCTACTTCCATAATGCACATAGACTTCATCCAGATATTACTGGACCTTAAATAAATTGCAGGACAAACTGTAGAGATATCCTAACAATAAATCAATGGCAATAGAAACTTTAATCAGTTTAAGCACAAACATTAACCAGACCAGATGGGAAGTGTAAATAACAAACAGGGTTATGAAGTCCTTTTCGCATGCAACCATGAAGCAGTTATTGCTTAAGAATTAAAATAATCATATTTTATCTCAAGTTTCAAATTTGCATTTATGGATCAAAAAATCCAATATTACCTCTTCGTTATTTTGTTCGTGTTGCATTTTTGTTCTCTGCCTCACAATGCGATTCTCTTCCATGGTCTTTCGAAGCTTCTCACTCACTATCCCAAAACTCTCCTTAAGAGCCTTATTATTCCTCCGTTCTTTGTCAGCCTTGTTCTTGTACCAGATTAGTTGTTGATTATCTTCACTCATTTGTTTCATTGGTTCCACAACCATTTCATGGTAAGACCTCATTTCAAATTTCAATCTTGTTTTACCTAACCAAGTGCATGAATAAGTTAGAAATTATTGAAAGTGGGCTACTGACAGAAACTTGTGTAACATAAGTAGTTAAACCAAACATTCTGACAAATAAGATAACAGGTAATTACTGTCCAAATATTTAAAATTCTTAACCAGATGACCAAAAGCAAATGCATTGACTGAATAGTAGGATATATATGAAGAACTGTAACAGTTAGTTGCATGGTCAGAAACAAGTGCACACAAGACATGAATGCCCATGCTGACACATAAAGACTAGGTAAAAGTTTCAAGGAATGAATTGGACCTTGACAATGCTGGTTGAAGATGTCCAAATCGTCTTTGCATGCCATGTAACCATACAGCTGGCGTTTCCCACCTGCCAAGAAGGGCACACGATGACGATCCCAAGCCTCTCTATCTGTTCCTTGATCAGAAAAATGTTTGTGCAAGCGTTCAGCTTCTAAATAGCCTACTGCAGAGGTCTCGAATATCAGGACACTCATTCCCCGGTGCCCTTGTGGACCATAAGAATGGCGAGCTTTCACTGCAGCATATGAACTAAAATAATCGAGTAGTTCTTGATTACCCATGCCTATCCACTGTAAAATACCACTCAGCACAACAGGTTGACAATATTAATACCAAACCATGAAAAATTCAGCCAACCCTCTATTAAGCTCACTGGCATACAGAAATCATTAGCAGGGACATGAAATAAATTACCTTTCTGGTTAAGAGAATGGGTAGGGCTCTGCTACCAACAAAATGCTCCCAACACTGTCCCAACAAACCATTGCAGCCATACATTGGGAACATCTCCTTGTCATTCACTTATGGGAAGATGTTCCCAATGTGCGACTGCAGTGGCCGGTTGGGAAATGTTGGGATTGTCTGGTTGGTAGCAGATCTGAACTCAAGGCAATGACCAGAGAATTCAGAATATCCATGCTAGCAAATGCCCTATTGTTTAGGTTAGTTGCAAGAGTAGCATGAAAGTCCCACCATATGGTAGTGGTGAGGTATAAGGTTTTTCCAATTCCCTAAAAAAAGCAACTTTTATTTCCCGTACAAGAACATCCTCTGCAAACAGTTTGCAAGGTACATAGTAGTACATAACAAGGAGTTATGTGACCCAGATAAAGCAAGGATATACCTGGACAACATATCATACACAGACCATATGGTAGTGGTGAGGTATAAGGTTTTTCCAATTCCCTATAAAAAAGCAACTTTTATTTCCCGTACAAGAACATCATCTGCAAACAGTTTGCAAGGTACATAGTAGTACATAACAAGGAGTCATGTGACCCAGATAAAGCAAGGATATACCTGGACAACGTATCATACACAGAATTTTCACAAAATATCCTACACTACATGACACCATTATACAGGTATCAATGATAAATGTATCAAAGAAAAGAAGTCCATATGATTGAGGAATCTTTGACATGACTTCAAATTTTCTGATTTCTTTGTAGAAAATTAACAAGGCTATTAAAAATGTAAATACTATTACAATAGGCCTCCCATGTTCTTCCAAAATTTCAGCAGAAACAAGGTTAGCTATATAATAGAGATCTATTGAAAATTGAAACAAGGAAACTTGATATTGACTGCCTACGTGGAGTCCCGAAATGGCTTTGTCGTGTTAGCTGTAAGATTCTCACCACATGTGGCAAGTCATCCAAGAGACCAAAATGACTTTATCAACAAAAAACCTCTTTGCCAGACAACATTTGGAGAGAAGAGTTGAAACTATAAATAGTAGCTTATTGGTAGCAACCCAACAAGTACCAATATATACAGCTAATAACCGAGGCACCAAATATGGACTATGGAATCAATCCAGAGACATATCTAGTGATAGATCCAAATTAGCCACTCAGAAAAGAAGAGGGTCCATGTAACAAAGAGATATAACAGCACATCAAAAAACTTCTTCCAAAACTCACTTGTTACCATAGTACCTCTGTCATACTTCCAATACCAATTTCACATGAGAATCTCTAAAGACAAAGATATACATGCCTTGACATAATAATGAGCACGAACTAAGACAAATTAAACAATATAGACTAGATGCAGCAAGCTCTTAAATGAAACAAACAACAAGAGAAATATTGAGCTATGGTATTTCTCCGATGAATAAAAAAATTATGTTTGTACCTTGTCATTCTCATCCTTCTCAAGCCTTGTGTTCATAATAACAACCATTGGTGGCCAAACTATTTCTTTATCAGCAACTGTCTTTTCAAGACCTTTCCACTTCCCATAGGCTTCCCCAGAAGGTATGACTGACGTTCCCCTCCTTGCAAGCTCCTCCTCCAACACTTCAGCAAATTTCCTATGGAGTAATACCCTTTTGGCACCTTTAGTCTTCGCATGTGTCATTAGAGGCTGCAATCCACGATACCAGTCAATACCACCAGGGCCATTTTTGCAGGCTGGGCAGTGCCACTGCCTTTGTGGCTCATTTATCTGTTCAACAGTCAAATTATCCAAGGATTCAAAGAAGATCTTGAACCATTTGTTCTTCTTGCGTGTCTCATGGCTTTCTTGGCTTGCATCGGAATCAAATTCATCACTGAAATTATCATCATCACTATCATCTGCAATATCAGCATCATCGTCGTCATCATCACCAGGGTGTGGATCACCCATGTCATGCCCAAAATCTTCTCCAGCAGAACCACCAGGAACCTTTGACATGGTGTTGCCCTTGCTCTGCACATCTTCTGAAGCATTAGATTGCAAGCTGCTTCTTGCAGGCCATTGCCACCCATTCTGTAAAGGGGGAGGTATAACAGGTGGAGGTGCCATATAAGCAGTTTCCCAATTCTTATTAGATGATTGAGGTTTTGCATTACCTCTTCCAGTTGATCTCTTAGAATCAGAAGTTTGGACATGCCACGTACCCCCAGAAGCCTTACCCATTCCACCACTGCCACCCTTGCTAGCCCATCCTGTTCCACCATTGCTGGCCATGCCAAGCTTATGAATTGTATCTGCACTGCCCCAGGCTTTAGGAGCAGAACCCTGAGAACCCCATGATTTTCCGGCACCAGTTCCAGATCGATTCTTTGATTTCTTTGCAAAGACCTCCCAGTTTCCATCTTCTGTAGATTCCAAGCTTATGTCAGCCACGTCACAGCTAAGCTGGTCAACTTTGGGGCTGTTATTACCGAAACCAACAGCAGAAGAAGTCCCATTTTGAGGACTTTTTCCTTTGTCCAGTGAATTGCCATCAATTTTCTTTGAATTCATTTCCTAGTGGTTCCTGCACCATGACATTGAACACAGGGCCCAATCAGAACGTAATCTTAGAACCAAAGAAACAAATGAACAATCATAGAGGGCATTTAAGATCCTAAGAAGGTAAACCACAATCACATTTACCAACACAATATTGACATTTATGAACAGCCCAGAGTGGTACACAATATTGACATTTATCATCATTAATCATATTGAGTTTATCATTTCAAAATTCCCTTCATAGGAACTATAAAATAGTGAATTTCACTCCTGCACATGTGCTTTATGTCCAGAATCCATTGTATAGTCCGTGTACAAGTTACATAGTAAGAAGAATGACATCTTTAATCTTTAGAAGTATAATATATTCTAGATACATTTAGAAATTTAAAATATGCACACTTAACTAGAAACAAAGAAGCAAATTATTCACTCAAATGTGAAATACAAATGAGATTCATATACTTAACCTTAAATATAATTTATAGAAAAAAAAGGGTCATAACAACAACTCAAAAATCAATTTCCATTTAATCATATTCAAGCTTAATACAGAACCCCATGCAATGCATACAAGAATATTGATTAACTTTAAATGACCACAAACAAAGAAGTTTACATTTTCAACTTTCGCACCAAGTACTGACATGTATAAAAAGCAAACACATATTGCCTCACATTTCCTGCTTTATTTGTTTCCTTTTCTTTATATGTAAAGATATTCCTTATAGAACAAAGAAACTTTTTCAAAAATCATCTCAGGGATGGCTAAAGGTTCTTTACTATCAAGTTATATCAGAAAACCATTATTGAAATACACGCTTCCTGAAGCAGAACCACCCACACAGCAGCTAATTAGGTGGCTGCAATAACCTTAATGCAAGCTGGAAACAGGGCCACAAAACCCTCAGCTTGCTGGTTTAAGCTTAACCTTGACTTGTTTAGAAGTGTAAAACGGGTCATGCCGGTCCAGCCCGCTCGCGGGCCATCCTAGGCCATGCCGCCCTCCCCAAGTATAATTTGGGGGTCGGCCCAGCACAGCCCACGGCCCAAGCCCGTGTGGGCCCGTGCCATGTCATGCCACAAGCCTGGGCCAGGCAGGCTGCAGGACGTGCTGAGCTGGGCCACAGGCCAGGCCTTGGGCGTGGGCCGAACCAGGCCAGACTGGTTTTTTTTACATTCTTTATTTTTGTATTTCTTTGCTAAGTAAAACTAAAATATTTAACTTTCCTTTGGGAACTATTTGAAAAAATAATTTTTCAAATATCAAAATTATTTGTTCCGGAGGGGTTACTAGATCACGTGCCATGACAGCGAGAACTGGATAATTTTTTCCATGTTCACTCCACTAGGCTAAAATATAAAAATTATTTGTCCCCTCCAAGGTGAAGGAAATATCACCTAAAGTAGAAAAACTTGCTTGTAAATAAAAATTAAGTTTAGTAAATAAACTTGTTGTCGAGACAGTGGATTTCTGCCTCTTACCTAATAAATAAATAAGTTTTTCTCTTCCACTATTAGACTCAAGTTCAGAAGTGGAAGATGCAACTATACAAGTTGTAGAAATTTTATTATTCCCTCTTACTTCAAATTCATATAAACTATACATTTCAAATAATAAACTATTAATATCTTCTTTTTTATTTCCAATTTCAATATTCATATTTTCACAATATGTTTCAAGTAAAATATCTAAACCATCTTTCCTAATCCTAAGATCTAATATTATAGCTAAATAATAAAGAGGAGAAATGTTCTCCCAATATTTTTCAATTTATTTTCCATTGTTTCAACTTGTACAGTTGCATTTTTTAAGTTGTGGATTTATAGAATTATGTAACCATTTTTCAAGTTTAGTATATTCAGCTAACAAAAATGGTTGTTCAGCATGTACAATGTATTTTGCTAATTCTTAACTCATTTTTTTCTTGAAAATATTTAGAAGTGTCATCCCCCCCGCCCAATTTGTGTTTGTGTTGTTCTTCTCCCTTCTTCTTTCTCATGGGTGAGCAAATGTTTGCCCAAATGGCCAGTACCACCCTTGCTACAATAGCTAAAGACTTTCCTAAATTTTTGGCAAACTGCTCTTTTTCCCTTCCCCTAAACATCCTCTACTTTAAATATTTTCCAAACTGGGATAATCAACTTAGTGGCCTTCTTTTTCTTTCCCCTAGTATCTGTAAGGGTGGAAACATTACCATGCTACAACTAAATATCGTCGACATTGAACATGTTAGGGAATTGGTTTTGGGAAGAGCCAGCCATTTTGTTTAAATTCTAAAAAAATAAAAATTAATTTAATTGCACTTACCCAAATATTCGGTTCGGAATCCCAACTTGATTTCAATGGTTGAAGACTGTCAACTCCAAGAGTCCAAGCCTCCCAAATTATATTTGAGCTATTGAGAAAGCCTTCTTGTTGAAACTTCAATAAAGTTGAGAATTGGAGAATCAGAGAATGTATGAGAGATTGAGAGATTGAGACTTGAGAGAGTATTGAGAACTAGAGAATTGTTGAATTGGTGTGATGAGAATGGTGGATGATAAGGCTATTTATAGGAATTGAAAATAATTCCACTGCCCAAAATACCCTAAAAACTAGTCATTTTTTAGTTGTTAGGAGGGGTATTTTGGTCATTATAAAGTTATTTATCACTATACCCAAAATGCCCCCCAAACTAGTTGTTGTATAGTTGTTGGAGGCATTTGTGTCATTTTTCCCCCCCCAAAACCAAAATACACAAATACCCCCCCATATAGCTATTTATAGTTGTTAGGGGGTATTTTTGCAAATAAAACCCAAAAAGTTGAAACTAGCTGTTAGGGGTTCCCAACGGCTAGTTCATCGGGCAAGCCGAGCGTGGCCCGCTATGGGCCCGTGACAGGCCATGTCGCCTGTCGTGACGCGGGCTGGGTCATGTTGGATCGGCACGCACAGTCGTGCCGTGCCATGTCAGCCCGTGGACCTGGAACCCCAGGCCCAACACAACCCAGACCATTGTGTCAGGCCTGGCACAGTCCGTGTGCTATCATGCCAAGTCAAGGCCGTATTTACACCTCTAGACGTGTTTAACATAGTAGAATGGACAGAACTAAAAAGATAGAATAATCACTAGACAAGTGAAGCAAAATTGAAAATGGGGTGAAAAGGGCTAAATGGAACTTAAGGTTTGGGGAAAATAAGAGGGAATTGGTGTGGGTGATAGGTCACAATGGAGTAGGCACCAAACCATAAATCTTGTAGGAGCAATTAAAAAATCATTCACTCATCGTCTCAAAACAATCTTTACAATGATACATGTAGATGATCATTCACCTTTTGAGATTTACAATATAATTACCTTCCTAATCAAATGTAAATAAACAAAGAAACACTTGTTAACAATGGAATGCAAGGCATGGTTTGATGTAACAATGGAAGAGTATCAAATTAATCAAAATTTTGATTTAAAATTCTCTCAACCAAAGATTTGATTGATATTATATCAATCGCAATTTTGATAGAGATTGAGAAAATACTTCAGATTTATTTAGATTTCAAATTCTTTCCTTAGTTGCATCAAACCATGACTTCTAAAATAGTTGGCCCTTCCTCTAGGAGGAATGCAAGATAAAGCTCTTGTTGGGGGTAATAATTGATAGAATTGAGAATAAATTGCTAGCAAGGAAAAAGAACTGCATTTCAACTCAAAGGGAATGGACTGGCTCTCGTCAAATCAACATTGTCCCATCTTCCTATTTATTTGGTTTTATTGTGAATCAATGGTGATTTTTTGAGAACCCGTATAAAGCAAATTTTGGGCTTGTAACGAGGACAATAATGCAGCATGCTTGGCATTAGAGGCAGATTCCCCAAGCAAGCAGAGATGCTATTATTAAAGCTCATAACAGTTTTAAAAGTTTAAGGCGCAAAAAAAGTGCAAGGGTCATTTTGTGCCCGTGGTGCAAGGCTCAAGGCAAGGCACACACCTTATTGAAGCAAGGCACAAAATTGCAAAAAAAAAATCTAAAAAAATCAAGAAATGTCAAAAAATTAAATAAAATGCAAATTATTAAACATACTACTAATTAAAAATATAATCTTAAAATTTTAAAATAAATGCTTCAAAAAACCTATAATCTCAAATTAAAATACATAAACATAACATGTGAAACATATTAAAATGAAAGTTTAAAAATAAAATCAAAACTCTTAATCTCCATTTATTTCCCAACTGCATTACTTCAAATAGCTAATGTGATGTTAAACATATGCATTCTTGATTCTACAAGCCGCCTTTGTACAAAGCCCCTCGAGGCAAGGCCAAATAAGTTCATATCGGGGTCTTAAATTCTTAATCCCTATAAAAAATAAAGGTTTTATAACTTTTAAGTGTCTTTTAAAAATATCTTTTATTAGGATAAGTTTTAAGACCTTTCCTTTTTATGGGAATTAAGAATTTAAGACCCCTAATATGGACTTGTTTGGGCTTGCTACAAGGAGCTTGGTTTGGGGTCCAGGGGCAAAGCCCCTAGCCCAACTGCTAAACACAAAAAAAACCAAAAAAATGCACAGATTTTCAAAAGGCGCACACCTGGGCTGAAGCACAAGGTGCACCAAGCATACAACTTTTCAAAATACTTTGCCTAGGACCTTATACCCTAAAATGAATCTAGCCAATGCGCCTAGGTGCGACTTTTAAATCATTGACTCAGAAAGCAACTCAAAAGATGAGCATCGAGAAAATAGTGGTAGAAACTAGAAAGCAATCATCAGATCATTCAGAGTCTTAAGAATCCTGGGGTTGAAGCTTAAAAGAAATTTTCTTTTTATTTACAGGAGATTTTGGCTTTTAATCAGGCGCTAAATTTACCTTTGCACAAATCAAGTGAGAATGAAACTTGAGAACTCATTTGGTTCCCCAAAAAGGGCTCAAAGGAGCAGGTGAATTCCCATAGAAACCCATGCAAGGGTCAGACAATGTTTTGGGCAGAGATTTGAGGATCTTTGTATTGGATACCTAATGCTTATGGTGTTTTTGTTTTGGTTTCTATTGTTCTACCAGTTGTTTGGTGTGTTATCTCTACAGCTTTGTCTGGATGTACAAGCTCTTTGTTATTGTCCTTTGTGGTTAAGTGAAATAAAATTCAGCTTAGCAACAAAAAAAGAATGTATTATGTACACTGGACAATCTTAGACCAGCAATTCTCACTGAAGGTTCATTTGGTTTCCTCATCTACTTGCCATGGTTGTACGCTCTTTTTCTGTGCTTCAACTTCTTCTGAGTTTAGCAGGTGAATAAAAGATGAAACTTACTAGACAAGAAGTTTAGCATAAGGAAAAAGGTTCAGGAAATAAACTACGACCTCGGCATGTCAAAGAGACAGTGAAGGAGCCAAAGGAATGGCAGAGACAGTAAACCATGCCAGGTCTTATGGTCATTTTGCTTAAATCATTCCATCTCCTAACGGCAAATATCTAAGTGGGGGATCTCTAAAGTATGAAAAAGTGAGGGTAAGTTTTAAGATAATTGGAAACCCTCTCTTGAACTAAACACTGCCAATTAGTGTTTAAATCCCCTATAAAGTGTGCTGAAAAAGATTTACAAAATCCTTAGGGGTTTTCTATAGGAGCCATCAAATGACAAAAAACAATCATCTTGAGGATTGGAAAGCGGAAAACAAGAATAAAGAAGAGGGAGTAGTAGGAATAGGAAGATTAAAAGATAAGATAAGAATACCATTACTGATCAAAAAAATAAATAAAAAGATAAGAATACCACCTTTCGTAGTCCTTGGAAAGTTATTTCCTCACCATACTTTTCAAGGCAACAAGGGAGCGCTTAGTCACCTAGTTGCCTAGGGTGCATAGGTGTTGCCTAGTGTCTAAAAAGTAAACTTGTTTTTCCTGATGTTTCTAGGCTTGTGTCTCAGAAGCAAACCTTTTCTTCGTAATATTTCAAGGCTAATGTCTCAGAAATAACCATTTTCTTCCTACTATTTCAAGAATAGTGTCTTAGAAATAACCATCGCCTAGTAAAAGGGGCTGCTCTGTTTTTGTCATAGAAAAATAAGAAAAAAATCAACAAAATGAAAAATAAGGAGAAGGAAGGGAGAGCACCTTTTTTTGTCTCAGAAAAGAGAAAAAAAATGATAAAAAAAAACATGAAGGAGAAGGGGTGAAGCCCCTATTTTTGTTTTAAAAAGTGCAAGAAAAAAACTTGAAAATGATGACCATTTCAAGAAGCAGAAGGAAAAAAAAATCAAATGGAGAACAGAAATACAAGGAGAAGAGCCCCTATTTTTGTTCAAAAAAAAAAGAAACGAAAAGAATCAGAAATTTAAGGAGAGATGGTTATTTCTTATCCCAAAAAAAGAAGGCACTGCCAAAAAAGAAAATAAAAGAAAAAGAAGGCATTGATCTGATCCGCTATTTCTATTCTAGAAGAAGAAATCGAACATACATGTGTTCTAATGGTGTTACTTGTTGCTTTAAGTCTTCAATCTTTTACCTTCAAAATCTTTGAAGTCTTTGAACTTCAGTTCTTTATCGCTTTTTTTGGTAAAGAGCTCTATATCATTCAAACCCTAATATAACAAAAAAAAAACTCACAAATGCATGTTGATTTATGAAGTAATAAAAACAATGTTACAGTGTAGCATTGCCTATGTTAATATTATGAGATCAAAATATAAAAATATTGTAAGATAGTGTAAAGTTTGATATAAACTTGCTTGGCATTTAGTTGAGGTGAGCAATAAAAAGCACCTAATTGCCTAGGCGACGCTTAGGCATTGCCTTGACAACTATGTTCCTCAATATTCCCCATTCCTTCAACAAATTAGGTATAACTTGGTTTCTTCTTACTAGATCTAAGGCAAAATTTTGGGAGAACATTTGATATGAGAATTTCCTCTTTGTCAAATTATCCATAGAATCGGAAGGTGAAAGACCATTTATCGATGGATAATTTCATTGAACTTAGGGTTGAGAAGAGGGTTAAGAAAAGCCAAAACTTAAAAAATATTAAATAAAAATTTTGCTATATAGCTTGAATGAGGCTTTCATGGATTAAGGGGTAGGGATGAGAGTATTTGCACTCCACATCCAAGAGACCTTTTTACTTGTGCATCCTTTTCTAAGACTATCACTCTAGTAAACCACCAACCTCATCACTAGACAAGGCTATTTGGGCCAGTCTTTCCATATGTGTGTTCTTTGTCTTAATAGTGGAGAGAGCACCAACCACCTTTTATATCCTGCTTATATGCCTCAGAGGTATGGAATTTCTTTTCTCTCCTGAGTGCAGTTTAGATAGCACCAACCAGGCAACCAATATAACAGACCTATTCTCTACCACCCTATATATATAGAACTGCCCTAGGGCTGCAATCTTATGGGGCATATATATGAAGTGAATGCAAAGATATTTACACATAAAGTAGGCATCAGCATTACCATTGACTTGCTAATGCTGAGAAGTGTTCATCGGACACTGGCTAGTGGCAGCATTTCAACATAGACTGCAAAGGAAACAAAAGGAGTGGAACGCTCCAAGAGAAGGGAACTTAAAATCAAACTTCAATGGTTGTATTTCGGAGAACCTGGGAGTGACGGACATTGGAAGACAAAGAACATGGTGATAAAATCGTTCTTACTTATTCAGGCCCAATTGGCTTTGGCAACTCCTTGAAGGCTGAAATTTTAGCTTTATTACATGGTTTGAAGCTTCTAATCTCACCAGGGTGGACAGAAATCATAATCGAAGGAGATTGGCAAGTCATATTAAGTTAGTTACATGAGGAGGAAACACTCTGGAGATACAGAACATTGATCAAACAAGTGCAAACATTGGGGCACAACTTGAACAGCTTATTCAGATGGATTCCTTGACTTGCAAATGCATTAGCCAAGTCAGGGGTTAAAAGAAATTCTACATTGGGGAACACTGGACATGGGATTTTCATTGTAATATTCACAGATAAGCTATGACCGTTCTACCATTTTCATTGTACTATTTGATTTCCGTATTGTACAGCATTGAGGATAGTATGGTTGTTAGAATGAAATATTGTTGATTATCAAAAATAATATTACAGAAAGGTGTCTGCCCTATGATTTGTCATCTTGGCAAATGCCATATCGCCTAGACAGGCACCTTTTTTGTCGAAGTCATGGTGTTTAGGTGATATGCCCAACCAAGGGTGACTTGTCACCTAGGCAATTCCTTTTTTTTTTGAAGAATAAAGAAAAAGCTTTCAACACCTAGATAATTCCTTGACAACCATCATCATCATCTTAAGCACTGTCCCAACTAATATGGGTCAGCCACATGAATCCTATTTTCACATTCCATTCTGTCTAGCCACTTGAATCACCATAAATGATAGCTTGTTGAGGACTTGAGGTTCATATTCCATGCCTCCATTACTGCCATAATGCCATAAACAATGTTTTAAAAACCGACCCGGAGACCAAACCATTTTTGCCTCCAAGTCGCGGGTCACCGGTTCGACTGGCCAGGTCAAACAGTTCATACCATGCCTCCATTACTGTCATATGTATATATGTTTTTATACATATATGTGTATATATGCATACATATATATGTGTGTAAATATATATTTTAGCAATAAATAATGTATAAATATGTTTTAGATATGTTATATGTATTATTTTATATTTAATTTATGCTTCTTAATTCAGTTTTTAATTTTTTATTTATAAAAATATTAAAAATTGCAATTTGAGGCCAAAAAATGGGTTTTTTTGTGAAAATAACGTGGCAAGGCGCCGTAGCACCTTGGGACGCATAGATCTCAAAAAGTTACCCAATATAAAAAAAAAAAAAATCATCCCAATTGGACATCGGAGTGCAAAGTTATGGCCTCCGAAAGTTTGCATGTATTGAGTGTGCAACCTGTGACCGGGTCAAACAGGTCAACGGTCAAACCATCCAGGTCAAATGGTTCTTGACCAAGTCAAAGGTTGAACCGGACCTGGAATCTTGGCCGGGTGACAGTTCGAACAGTCAGCCGGCTGAGTCAACGACAGGTTGAAAACATTGGCCATAACCTCAGCCCTCAATGAATCTCCTATACCAATTAGACCCGAGAATACTACAATAACATGATCCTCCTCATTCCTAAAAATACCACCCACTCCTCATTGCCCCAGGTTTCCCATGCTACTACCATCAAAGTTGAGTTTTACAAAACCTCTTTGTGATGGTATCCAGCTTCTACAAATCAAATTCTTTTTTATATGGTGTTGCTTAAACTTCCCTCCATTTCTAATGATTTCATTGAGTGCAAAGGATGAAAAGCTCCCCACGGATTTCACCCAATGAGCTAACCTTATAATGATGCTTTCGATAATTGCCTCCTTACTTCTTGCTTCCTCTTTGAAAATTCTTGCATTTCTTATTTTTCTTTCCTTCCTTAAAGGCAAAGATAACAAGCATTTTTCACATTGGCTACTATTTACTGAAGATCAACTCAAAAAGTAGTACTTGGTGACCATGCAACCTGAGATAAAGAAAAATAATTGTCAAACACAAAGGTAGAAACTAAACATTTGAGGTATTAAACCAAATACAAGGTGAAAGGAGCTCCCTTAGGCATGCAGCAAAATCCATTGGAGCAAATGGAAATGCCAACTAAGTTCACATATTCAGAAACCAGTGCAAACAACGACTAATAATCGAATCATACAAATAACTGCTAACTGCCTCACAATGTAAGTTCCAAACAAATAACAACTCCCAACTAACTAACAACTGCTCATATCCCTTAGACATGCAACAAAATCCAATAAAGCAAATGGCAATGCCAACTAAGTTCACATACTCAGAAACTAATACAAACAATGACTGACAATCAAATCCCACAATAACAACTTCCAACTGCCTTACAATGTATGATCCAAACAAATAATAACTTCCACTCGAGTCACAATCAAACCCTACAACATAAATTGAAGAATAAGATAATAACTTCAAACTGCCTTATTGCAGCGAGAAAAGCTTTCAACTACCTTATATTTGTGCTTTGTACCCACAGATATTTTGATGGCACTTAAAATCTTTATTCTTATTTACAGCATCCAATGATTAGGAGCCATTACTTAGTGTGCTGGTAAAATCTCGGACCAGATAGCATGAGAACACAGGCTGAGTCTGAAGGCAGCAACTCCGTGCAAAAGAATGCCAAGAATTAGGATCGTACCCAGTCTACCCATCCCAAGACCCCAGAGAGCTGGAATCAACATTGGGTAATGACCTTTAGCTTCCACCTTCCAGTAATTAGCTTTAGAGAATAAAAGGGATTGATTATAATATATATTACAGTAAAACCTCTTGCTGACATAACCAGTGGCATTATAAATACTTTTTATTGGAATTGGCATTATAAATATGAGTATGAAACACAACAAGTAAACTTTAAAAGATATGGTAGCAGCTCAGATAAAGGGCCAAGACAAATTTAGCTGATTGCGTAGACGTGCATTTCTCTTTAATCAAGTAATTTTCAGCAAGAAAAGTATATTGGACCTCCAATAATTAATGCCACAAGTAACCCATATTTACAACATTGTAACATCTAAAAAAATAGAAATAATTGATATGCAAAAGCTTACTGGTACAAAATTAAAATTAAATTTAGTTAAATGAAACTACAATAAATTTCACCTAACCTAGTCCAGTCACTTGAAGTGTGAAATGTAATAGTTGTTACTCGCTCTTCAAGAAGAACTATTCCCTGAAAGACATATTTTACAATCAGTCAGTCAGCGGGCGCAGAGAGAGAGAGAGAGAGAGAGAAAGAGGACCGCCATATACAAATGAGGGTAAATAGAGAGGAGAGGGCCGTAATGACGGTAAACACGAAGGATAAGTAAAGGAGAAAACCTTGGAAAAGGAAGGGAAATAGACATGGAAGATTAAAACAGAAAAGATTCAAAACCAGCGTTTAATTGAACCATTCAGAGCTTTAAAGAAAGGAAAAATCAAGAACCCACGAAGGGTTTTCGATGAAAATTAAGAAATTCAAAGAGGAATTTAAACAAATAATAATGAAGCCAACCAAAAACATCCTTGATCATAGAAAAACCCAGAGCACAAACTTACGCACGTATAAATACGAATGAAACAAGAAAAAAGACAATTAAAAAAAGAAAGAGATGATGAATGCAGATGCGAACAGAAAAACCCAAATAAGAGCAAACTAGTGAAAATCTTCATACAAATAAGTACCTCAGATGGAATTCCGTCCGATCATCGGCTCATTGCTGAATATGATAGTCCCGCGGAAAATGGTATCACAGTAAAGAAACGCGGAGAAAAGGGAACAAACAAAAAGAAAAGGCAACTCGGAGAACGAGGGTTGAAGCAAAGGAGAGAGAGAGAGAGAGAGAGAGGGAACGGTGTAGTAACCAGCAAGTTTATAAGCCGGCGCTTCTGAATCCGGATTCCAAAACCCTACTTAACTCAATTTGATAAGATAACTGACATTAGAAGAGTGACCGAGTGAGTATAGACTATTGTTGAAAGTTGAAACGTCTGTAAGTGCGCGTATTTCGAGAAAGAGAGAGCAGTGTGTCTATCGTACTGATTACAGTCCTACGAATCGAAATCTACTCTTTATAGGTTTTTTCAATTTGAATGTAGGCAGGGCCCGATCTAACTTCATATTGATTGTAAGATTGGAATCCTCAATGGATAGATCGATGATCTATACCAAAATTTGTTTGAATAAAATTTATCCGTTTTAATAGAATTACCAGCGGAGGGGGGCGAACTTTGTTCAAACATTGTTGAATCAGTCAATGACTTGTTGAACCGTTGACTTATCAACATGTTTAATGGTTTTTGGCCTATTAATTTTTAATTAATTTTTATTTTTAAATTTTTGTTATTAGAACGGGTCATCTGTTCGAACCAGACGGTTGAACCATCGACCTAGAAACCGATGGCCACAATGGTTCCGTTTTTAGGTGTTTTTTCTGTCAAAAATTAGACAAAATAACTTTGTAATCATAGTCATGGGAAGGTTGGACATTTCAAGGTATTCCAAAACCTTGAAAGATAAATCCAAAGTGACCTTATAAACACAGAAAAAAAAATTAGTGGTAAATCCACCAAACTGGAAAAACCAAGGAAAAAATCAGAAAACTGAGTCTAAAATTCCGCTTTGAGGCGAAGCTAAACATACATGCAATCAAAGAAAGACACAAAGCATATCGTCTTGTAAGAAAATAAAAAAACATTGCACATGAAAATATAAAAAAAAAATAAAAGGGAAAAAATAAAATGGTGGTAAACCCTAGACCATTTTGGAGGGTCTTGAAGAAGAAGACCAAACACAAAAAAAAAAAAGTAAAAAATAAAAAAAGGAATATACCGCACACGCTCCAATAAAGCCCACAGTAGAAGAAACCTTTGAATAGTGAAAATCCAAAAGCATAAAAGTCATGGTTTTCGAACCGTTGTTGACCCGGATGAACGGACATTTTGGCCTGAGAACCGTCCAGGCAGCCGGTTCCGTTTTACCCCAATCCCGGTCCCTGGCCAAAAACTGTTTAATTGGTCAATGACCCATTGACCCGAGCGATCAAACTGTCAACCCATTCATTGGTTTTTGGTCGTTTTTTATTTTTTTTTTAATTTTTGTTGTCAGAACGGGTTGTCCATTTAAACCGGATGGTCGAACTGTCAACCCAAAAATCGGTGATCAGAATGGTTTCGTTTTCGAGTCGTATGAGTCACATGCTTGAATGACATAACACATATGATACTGCTTAATGGGCCTCACACACTCAATTTTTTGCCTGTAATTTTTGTTGCCAGAATGGGTCATCCGTTCGAACTAGTCGGTCGAACCGTTGACCCAAAAACCAGTGGCTATAACAGTTCCATAATTTTTTATTGTCAGAACAGGCCATCCGTTTGAACCAGATGGTCGAACCATTAACCGAAAACCGGTGACCAAAATGGTTTCGTTTCCGAATCATATGAGTCACATGCTCGAATGACGTAATATGTATGATACTGCCTAATGGACCTCACACACTCAACTTTTTGCCTGTAATTTTTGTTGTCAGAACGAGCCATTCATTCGAATCGGATGATCGAATCATCAACCCAAAAACTTATGGCTATTTGAATCATTACGGGTATTATAATTTGAATAATCACAAGTAGGAATCATTTTATGACACCTCGACATCACATGTGGCGCTGCCCTTGCCCAAACAAATCGGCTTATGCCGCGTTGGATAATTCAATTCCTCTTTGACCTAGGCAATCGATGGCATGAAGAATCAACCAACCTAAGGATCTCTAACCTATGTGACATGTCTTTTATCCGCTCGCATCACTTAGCTCCTCTAAAACGTTCAACAACACATCACCTACCTAGTAGCGATAATTCAATTCCTTTCATTTTACAGGGAACCAGGTAAGGGTCAGCGTGACGTAGTGGAGGCATGTTTCATAAACAACGGGTAGATGGACCCTATCATCTCTGAGCATGTCGAACATGTCACATTGTGCCTCAATGCCTATATAAGGGTGACCCCACACCCTCAAAAGGTATGCATACATATTCACACTAGCTTTTTGTTCTAATTCCCTATTAACTAGCTCTCACTCACTTCACCAGCTCGGTACTAACTTGACCATCAGAGTACCTTGCCCGAGTCATCCCCCTGAGCTCTCTGACATGTTCTCCTCTTGCAAAACTGGCCTGCTGACCTCATCTGACTTTGTCCAAGCTGTCATAGCCAACAAAGACTCAATGTAGATCATACATGGGAACCCGAACGAAAAAAGCCATTCCCACACTCTTTCTTTCTCTTGCTTCCATTACGTCTTCTCTAAAGGACAATGAAGCTCAAATTGGTGGATCCTCCTCTAGGGGGCGACTCTAAAATATCAAGCCCTCAATGGTACTAGTGGAAGTAAACAAATAGCAATTCCAAGACCTAGTGTGTCTGGTCAGGAACATGGACCTTCACATGTAGTCTTGGGAATAATGCATGCCACATTGGGACAACCTCAGCCTGAGGTACCGGCATGGGTACAACCTCCTCGGAATCAAACTCAGTAGCCTACTTGTCTAGATAATCAACAACCATCGCCTTGCAACACCCAAAAAGACCTCACCCCAACTCGCACATTGGAGTAGCAAGACCCTTTGTGTGTCCCTGAGGGAGAGGGAAGCAAAGCAACCTCTTCCTAAAGGTCTACCAACTTGCACTCTACAAGGGGCTTTCGGTGGGATAGAGGTAGGGGATGTCCCCAATGTGAACCTATCAAAAGTCAGCTCGGACCCAAAGAAGATCCTCGAATGAGCCCAACCAAGGATCATGAAGCTAGCAAATCTGACACCTCCAGTACTCTAAGTCTTACTCGAGCCTTGCCTTTGTTGGTTGATATCCTCGCGGAACCATGCCCTAAGGACTTCAAGGTGTCAAACCTGAAAACCTATGATGAAACTACCAACCCAGTCGACCATGTCAAAAACTTCCAGGCCCTCATATTGTTGCATAGGGCTTCAAAGGCAAGCATGTTCCTGGCTTTCTCGATGAGATAACAGGTTGTCCAGACGATCCAGTTCACCCGACAGGCGCTCTTGGACTCCCCTGGTAAAGTGCCATAATTATACACCACTGAACACGGGGGGAATCCTGATGTATACAAAGATGGACTACCTGAAGTAGCCACTACGCATAAAAGGCAACCTAACGAATAGGAACCAAGACTAGTACTGCCACTTTCACCAAGCTAGAGGACATGACACCAAGTACTACCGCAACCTCAAGGACAAGATTGAGGAACTGATTCGATGTGGTTATCTGAAGCAGTTTGTCAAAAAGGACAACGACCTGCCAAATCACCGAGGAATCAATACAAGGAACTCGAGGAGGAAGTTCTCATTGGGGTGATCGCATTGATCACTAACAGGTCCATGGTGGTTGGTTACAGCTTGTCAACCGGAAAGGTGTCAGCACGGGAGTAGCAATTTGAGGATGACAACCTACCTCCAAAGAGGTCAAGGACTGAGGACGTGATCTCATTCGGTAAGGACAATCTATGACGTGTCTTTCTTCCTCATGATGATGCCTTGGTAGTGAAGATGGTTATCACCAACTACAAGGTAAAAAGAATTTTAATTGATAGTGGTAGTTCGATTAATATTATCTTTGTTGAAGCCTTTGGTAAAATGAACCTGGGCCAGAAACACCTTGTCCCTATTGATGTCCCTTTAGTCAGTTTCAGTAGAGACATTGTTCACCCTGTTAGGAAGATAAACTTGTCGATAACAATGGGAACCACACTGAATAGGAGGACATTGAAGCATGATTTTCTAGTTGTAGACACACCTTCTCCCTACAATGTGATATTGGGCTGCCTTATTTTACATGTCCTTCAAGCCATTGTATCAACATACTACCTCGCCATAAAGTTCCCAATTGAGGAAGGGATTGGGGTAATTCAAGGTGACCAGTTCGAATCAAGGAAATGCTATGTGGCGGAATTTAAGAACAAAGGAAAGCAATCGCTAGTGATTGACCTCAACCTCGATCCGCTTGAAGAGCCTGATGACAATCAAGGACAGCCCATAGAAGATGCAATATTGGTTCCTCTTTTTGAGACCGAACTTGAAAAAAAGTCCAAATTGAGTAGCTCCTCTAGGAACCTCTCCACATTGAACTAGTAAGATTTTTAAAATTAAATTCTGATGTTTTTGCTTGATCGATTGTCGAATGTTTGGCATAGACCCTTCTATGATAACCCATAGACTAAATGTTAATCCCAATGTTAAACTTATGAAACAAATGAAATGGAACTTTTCCCCAAATTAATGAAGGACCATTGATGAGGAGGTTAAGAGCTCATTAATGCCAACCTTATACAATAAGTAGAGTACCTAGATTAGATAGCCAGCGTGGTACTAGTTAAAAAGGCAAACAAAAGATGGTGCATGTGTATTGATTACACCGATCTGAATAGAGTTTGACCAAAAGATAGTTTCCCACTTCCCAAAATAGACTGACTAGTAGATGCCACATTGGGGTTTGAACTACGTTCATGGATGCCTATTCAAGCTACAACTAGATCCAGATGGATCCCTTAGACCAAGAAAAGACCGCATTTGTAATTGAGACTGGCCATTATTATTACAAGGCTATGCCCTTTGGCCTTAATAATGCTGGGGCAACCTACTAGCGGCTCGTTGATAAAATTTTTCATAATTTAATAGGCAATAAAATATAAGTTTATGTTGATAATGTGGTTGCAAAAAGTAGGTTTTCTAACTCCCATATTGCCGACCTGACCGGGGTCTTTAATGTTTTAAGAAAATACAAATTAAAGGTCAACCCAAATAAATGTGTTCGGTGTCATGATGGATAAGTTCCTTAGTTACATGGTAACCTACCGTGGAATCAAAGCCAACCCCAAGAAGATCCATGCTGTCCTAGATATGCCACTTTCAAGGTCCATTAAGGAAGTGCAAAGACTCACTAGTCAAGTTGTCATCCTCGGTTACTTCATGTCTAGATCGGTAAGGCAGTGCCTACCC